GTGCTATATGTAATCTTTTGGGACTAACTTTTTCACTTAATATTACATTCTAATATCATCCTTATAATTATTATTATTATTATTATTATTTTGAGATGGAGTCTCACTCTGTCCCCCAGGCTAGAGTGCAGTGGCACTATCTCGCTCACTGCAACCTCTGCCTCCCAGGTTCAAGGGATTCTCCTGCCTCAGCCTTCTGAGTAGCTGGGATTACAGGCACCTGCCACCATGCCTGGCTAATTTTTGTATTTTTAGTAGAGACAGGGTTTCACCATGTTGGCCAGGCTGGTCTCGAATTCCTGACCTCATGATCTACCCGCCTCGGCCTCCCAAAGTTCTGGGATTACAGGTGTGAGCCACCACACCTGGCCCCATCCATATTATTTTGTGTCACTATAGTTCATTTGTTTTGACTGCAGCCTAATATGTCATTGTGTGAATATACCACAGTCAGCTTCGTAAAGACTGACCTGAGATTGAGTCCTCAAACTGAGATATTTTCACTAATTCTTTCATTCAACAAATATTTTTTCAACACTCGTTATCTACTGTACATTGTAGGAGACATCAGGGATGCCACAGTTAACAAGATAGTCACAGTTCCTATCATTCTAGCTTACAGTTTTGCTTTAGTTCATTTTTTCTTTCTCTCTTTTGGTTTCAAACAGGTATAGAATTTTTTCCCACAGCTACTACTCAGTGAATAGCAATTGAAAACAATTAAGGGCCAGTCATGGTGGCTCACACTTGTAATCCCAAAACTTTGGGAGGCTGAGGTGGGCAGATCATTTGAGTCCAGGAGTTCGAGACCAGCCTGGGCAATACAGTGAGACCTCATCCTACGAAAAAATAAAAAATAGCTGTGCGTGGTGGTGCATGCCCATAGTCCCAGCTACTCGGGAGGCTGAGGTGGGAGGAGCACTTGAGCCCAGGAGGTGGCTGTTGCAGTGAGCTGAGATCACAACATTGCACTCCAGCCTGGGCGAAAGAATGAGACTCTCTCTTCCTTTCTCTGTCTCTCTCTCTCTCTCTCTCTCTCATGCACACACACACACACACACACACATACACAATTAGCCACTGTTCAGTCCAGTGATGAGGAATCCAAGGCCCCAGAAAATGCAGAATATAAGCTTCCTTTGTGCGTCAGCTTCTAGCACAATTCCGGGTCCATCAAAGGTGTATAGTCAATATTTGTCAAATTAACAATAAACAAAAGAAATTTGCCCTACCTACCTCAATGAATGCAGGCATGCATGCACAAGTAGACTCAGTGGAAGGGAATGAATCGACAGGAAAGGGCCCACTTCCCTGCTCCACCAGCCGCTCCTCTAGCCTCCCACAGCTCAGCAAGCACCCTCTTACCCACAATACTAAACCCAAGCACACCCAGTCCATCGGCGAGGCCTATTGCCTGTATCTTCCAAACACATATGGCGTTTTTTTTTTACCACCAACCTCCTCTCTCCTTAGGCCCTTGCCTTGCTCCAGCCATGCCCATCTCTATTCAGTTCCTCCAACCCCCCAAGCTTGTTCCTTGCCACTTGGCTCCTTCTTGTCACCTCCTCTAGGGAGACCAGCGAGATCCTCCACAACCATCCTGAGCCCCTCCCTAGAGCTCCCATTCTCACTCTCCATCCAGGCACTGTCTCCTCTCACCCTGGATTACTCTCTGCATAGCACCTACCCCTCTCTGACCTTTTCTGGTTTATCTGTTTATGGCCTGTCCTCCCCCTTCCCCTAGCCCTCCTCTCCACCAAGAAACAAGCTTCTCAGGGACAGACTCTCGGCTGTCTTTTTTGGGCACTATATTCCCCATCTTGCTGGGGTGGTTTCTTAATCTGCCTCTGAATCCTCCTGGAGTAGTGCCTGGTACAATGTAGATGCTTTACAAGCATTTGTTTAGTTAATAATTAATTCTTTAACGCTGCCCATCCTGGTTAGCAGACAATTGATATCGACTTGACTAGACAAGAGTTAGATGCAAGGACTTTGTAAACCATCACATGCCAGTTGGGTGTGAATTACTGTTGATATTATCCTACCTTGACTCTAGCCACAACAATGCAGAGTTGCCCAATTGGGTCTCATCTTCAGCCTGGAAACAGTCTGCTCAATCCAGCCCTGGTGATGGTGGAGGAGAGACGGCTGGGAATGAACTACAATGCAGAGCTCAAAGTTCAGTACCAGCCTGGTGCTAAACACCAAAAGTACAAAGGCAATGAGAAAGAGCGGCCAATTAAAAATAAAATTTTAAATTTTAAAAAGCAACCAAAAAGAAGAAAAAACAAAAGGAAATGCTGACCATCCTATGAGAGAAGTTCTGTGATAAACTCCTGTACCAAATGCTACAGAAATACAGAGGATGATGTAACTGCCTAGGGGGTTCACCTTGCCTGCTGCCTAGACAAAACCGATTCTTCAAGACGGGGGAATTGCAATAGAGAAAGAGTAATTCACGCAGAGCCAGCTGTGCGGGAGACTGGAGTTTTATTATTACTCAAATCAGTCTCCCCGAGCATTCAGGGAGCAGTTTTTAAGAATAACTTGGTGGGTAAGGGGAAGCCAGTGAGCCAGGACTGTTGATTGGTCAGGGACGAAATCATATGGAGCTGGAGCTGACTTCTTGCACTGAGTCAGTTCCTGGGTGGGGGGCCAGAGATCAGATAAGCCAGTTTATCAATCTGGGTGGTGCCAGCTGATCCATCAAGTGCAGGGTCTGCAAAATATCTCAAGCACTGATCTTAGAAGCAGTTTGGGGAGGGTCAGAGTCTTGTGGCCTCCAGCTGTATGATTCCTAAACCATAATTTCTAATCTCGGGGCTAATGTTAATCTAGTCCCCAGACAAGAAGGAGGTCTGCTTTGGGAAAGAGCTGTTACCAACTTTGCTTAAACTATAAGCTGAGTTTCTCCCAAAGTTAGTTCAGCCTATGCCCAGGAATGACCAAGGACAGCTTGGAGGTTAGAAGTAAGATGGAGTCGGTTAAGTTAGATCTCTTTCACTATCTCAGGCATCATTTTGCAAAGGCAGTTTCAATGGGAGGGCAGAGGGAAGAGAGTTCCCATGTGAGAGCCTAGCATTTCCCACCTGACAACTCATGTAATCCTCACAGTAGTCTTTTGAAGCAGGTTTTATTGTCCCCACTCTACAGAGGGTAAGCCTGGAGTTCAGAGAGGTGAAGGATCTTTCCTGAAAGCACACAGTTAACAGGAGGCCGGGGTTGTATTCTGACTCGACCCCTGCAGACTGCAGAACCAAGCTGTGTGCTACACCACAAGGCTGCCCATGGCCTAGTGTCACCCAAGGGCAAGGCCAGGCATGTCCTTCCAGCAGACTACAGGCTCGTTTGGGAGGAAAAGAAAGAGCTCCTCCCAACTGCTGTGTCCACCATGCTTAGCCGTGGAGCAGGCAACACCCAGGGACCCTCCCTCCATATCTAATCAGGGTCACCCACTCAGGGATTGAAAGGGGCCCTCTCACTCCCAAGAGGAACAGAAAAAATCTCCAGCCGGAAATGTACAAGGTCCTGCGACTCCTCCAACCACCACCAAGGCGGGTCATGACTTCAGCACAATAGGGCAGGCAAGTCCCTGGATGGAGACCTAGATAGACCACAGGGTTCAGAGGGCGTAAACCCAGACAGCATCCTCCCTGTAACATTTGCCTGGCCAAAAGGGTGTGCATGTATTTTGTATGTGAGCCTTTGTGTCAGTGGCTCCTCCACGTGACTCTGTGTGGCTATGTGCGTGCTGAGTGCACACGTGGAGTGGTGTGACTAAGTAAAAATGCCTTTGCGTGTATTTGTGTACATGCATCAATGGTGGCCTAAGACCACGCTCAGAAATGTCGTAGTGTTGGTAGCATATATGTAGTAAGGCATTCAAGTCTAAAGTGAATTTTTGCACATATAAACACCCTTGTAACCAATGTCAAGAATAAGATCCAGAAGTTTTCCAGAAGACTCCACTGTGCTCCTTCCAATAACTAACTGCCCCCCCTCCCCAGTGGTAACCACTATTCTGACTTCTATCACTATAGATTAACCTTGCCTTTTACACTTTAGATAAGTGGAATTGTACTTTTTGTGACTATTTTCTTCCCTTCATCATTATGTCTATGGAATTCATCCATATCGTTGCATTTTGAATTAGGTTATTCTTGTCTATTGCTGAATTATATTCTATTATATGAAAATACCAGTTTATCTACTCTACCAGTGACTGACGTTTGGGTTTTTCCAATGTTTAGCTATTATAAATGAAGCGACTGTAGACCTTCATGCACAGGGTTTTTGCTAGACGTTTGTACTCGTTTCTCTTGGCTATCTCCTGGAGCAGAATTGCTGGATCATAGAATCATAAAACAGTTGTATGTTTAGCATTAGTGGATTCAGCCAAACCATTTTCCAAAGTATTTGTACCAATTTACACTCCCACCAACAAGGTCTGAGAGCTCCTGTTTTCCCACATCGTCATCAACACAGTATTGTCAGTCTTTTACATTTTAGCCATTTGGTGTTTATGTAGAGATATTTTATTGTGGTTTGAATCTGCATTTGCCGGATAAGTAATGGCATTAAGCATTGTTTGGTACTTGTTGGCGAGTTGGGTGTTCCCTTTTGTAAAATGTCGATTCAAGTTTTTACAGAAATATAGTATCTGTAAACATAGACAAATCATTGACAAAAGCAGACAGTAGAGCAGAATCGTCTTAAGGAATTCAGCAATTTACACAACAAACCAGCAGCCAGTTGCTTCTACAATTGCTAATCAGTTGCTACTGGCTAAGCAAATTAATAAGTAAACTAATTGAAACAGATCAAATAGGTGTATGACTGAATGTTTCCTGTTGAACCAGGTATTTGGATAACACAGAGACCCCTAACTTAGACTCAGGGAGAAGGGAATATAGACAAGACCCAAGAACCTCCCCTAGGCTGCTAGCCCCAGCTGGAGAGGCTCCCACCTCAACTCACTGACTGTTTTCCTTCAATTGCAGGATCCTGACAGTGATCAACCTCTGAACAGCCTTGGTAAGTTCAGGTCCGGCTTTCGTTTGTCCACCTTAGCCTCTGAGTTTCAGCTGCCAAGTAGATCCTAAGCCACTCTTTCCTGGCCCTCACCACCACCACCAAAGTGATAAATGCCATGGGTGACATCCAGCCACCCGTCTAACCATCACTCAGCAAACATTCCAGGATTCATTCTAGAAGCAGGAGGCCTGGTCTCTGGGGAAGCAGGACCAACAAACCTAAAATCACCAAAGCAATGATTCTCCAATTCATTCATTCGGTTACTCTTATTCTTTCACTAAAACTGTAAGTACCTGCCATGTGCCAGGCCCTGGGCTGGACGCTGGCCTATCACAATAATTAAGACAGCCGAAGTCCCTGGTCTCGTGGAGTTCACAGTCCCACTGTGCTGCCAAGGAACAAGCTGGCCAGAAGCATTTTCATGAAAAATGGCAGTGCTTGCCTGATTTCCAGGGGAAGAAAAATAAGTTAAAAAATAGAATGATCCCAAATTTAAGGAGGTGTTTTTCTTCCATTGCATTTTCTTAAACCATTAATATCTACTCCTGATAGCCTGCTAGATCAGCAAAACAGATGAGCAAGGAACACATTAATATGAACAGGTCAGTGAGAAAATGGCCAATCCTGCTTGACAGGTTATTTATTTCCCAGTTCTGGGTCATGAGTTAACAATGACCACAGACGAAGTAATCTTTAGCAAGTAAAATGGTGCCTAGTTGATACTTTGGAATTTAATATAAGAGTAGGCCATGGTGTCCCCAAAGAACACCAGGGTGCCAGCTGCTCCACCACCTGAACAAGCCTGAGAACTCTCAAACCAGAAAACAAGCTGAGTTTGCTCGAGGAGTGAACATACCTATGCAGAACTATGCAGCACTGGGGGTTGGCGAAGACTAGCAGTGGAAGTCCATTTGGCTCAGAGAGAGAGGCCAAATTACACTGGCTTTGAAAGACATAATCCAGATGTGGAAGTCTCTTGTAGGCCCTCGAGTAAGAAGTGACAGGATGAAAGCAAGCTTTTAGGAAGCTCTGTCTAGCTGCGGTGGATAGGACAGGCTGGAGGGAGGAACAATAGCTGGCAAAGAGGCTGTTCATAGCTCACTATGTTCATTAACTTAAACTAGGTATGAAAGCTCTTTCCTTCCTAGTGGGGGAAGCAGATGCTCCCCGAGAATATCTGGGCCTGGACACAGGAACCCAGGGATCCCCATGGGTCACTCACTCTTGGAGAAAACAAACCAATCTCTTGTTTCCAGAGGTAGATGCTCAATAAATAAATCATACATGAATTCATGAACAAAATGTCATCATAGTCATGGCCACAGGAAAGAGGACAATTCTGAAGACTGGCTGCTGGAACTTTAAAAACAGTATCAGCAAATATTACTGATAAGCTACTTTGTGCCAGGTCATAGTTTATGGGCAATACCATTCCAGTCCACATCCCCACTGCCTGGCTTCTGTGTCTGAAGTTAAAACTCTCTTTTGGGGAAACACAAAGTGTCCTAAGCTTTCCTTTGTCAACAGATTCATTAGTACTGGCATTCACTGGGTGCCAATCTCTGGCAGGATGCCATTCTCTTCTTTTGAAGAGCTGAGGAAAGAAATAGAGCCAGACATGTGATTAGCCATCATTCAAGGCAGAATAAAATGTGACCTGTAAGAAAGGTAGAAGGGGCCGGGCATGGTGGCTCATGCCAGTAATCCTAGTACTTGGGGAGGCCAAGGTGGGTGGATTGCTTGAGCCCAGGAGTTTGAGACCTATCTGGGTAACATGGTAAAACCCCATTTCTACAAAAAATATGAATGCTAACTGGGTGTGATGCCACATGCCTGTAGTCCCAGCTACTCAGGAGGCTAAGGTAAAAGGATGGCTTGAGCCCAGGAGTTAGAGGTTGCAGTGAGCCAAGATCATGCCACTGCCCCTGCACTCCAGCCTGGGCAGCAGATTCCGTGAATGAGAGAGAGAGAGAGAGAGAGAGAGAGAGAGAGAGAGAAGGGGAGGGGAGGGGAGGGGAGGAAAAGAAAAAAGAAAAGAAAAGAAGTAGGTAGTAGAAGGGATGTGCTTAAGAGAACAGAGCCAAGAAAAATTCATCTGTTCATGTGACAAATATTTGTTGAGCAGTTACTATGGACCAAGCACTGTTCTAGATACCAGGGATTCAGCAGTGAACAAAACAGACAAGTTCTGTCTTCAACGAGTCTTCATTTCATGGAAGGGTGGGAGGAGACAGAAAATATGTCAAATATAGCATATGTTAGAGGCGATGCGTGCTTTGGAAGAAAAGAAAGCAAGAAAGGAGGATAGGAAAGTTTGGAAGGCTCCATTTTAAATAGGGAGATCCAGGTAGGCCTCACTGTGAAGGTGACAGTGAAGAAAGACTAGGAGGAGGAGAGGGAGCCAGCCATGTGGAGGTGAGGGCAGGACAGCCAGTCTGTTGCTTTCCAGGGTTTCCGGAATTCTTGCCCCAGCTCCCCCAGGGGAGAAGTCCCCATGGCACCTCCCCAGCTTATTTCCCACAAGGAGAGGGGGACTTAAAAGAATGTATCTCTGACACTTACTGATACTAATTTTGCCTACGTTTTCCCTTTCAAGTTCCTTCTTCTTGGATAATGATGTGCAATTGACAATGTAGTTATTATCACCTCTGTTCTAGGCAGTGATCAACTCCTACCTGGTCTCCCTAACCCCAGACTGTCTTGTTCCAATCCATCTCCTCTCTGATGAAAGATCCATCTTTCTTTTTGTTTTTGGAGATGGAGTCTTGCTCTTGTCACCCAGGCTGGAGTACAATGGCATGATCTCTGCTCACTGCAACCTCCACCTCCTGGGTTCAGGCGATTCTCCTGCCTCAGCCTTCCGAGTATCTGGGATTACAGGCATGCACCACCATGCCTGGCTAATTTTTGTATGTTTAGTAGAGCCAGGGTTTCACCATGTTGGCCAGGCTGGTCTTGAACTCCTGACCTCAGGCGATCCACCCACCTTGGCCTCCCAAAGCGCTGGGATTACAGGCGTGAGCCATCACACCCGACTAGATCCATCTTTCTAAAATTAATTTGATCCTGTCTCTCCACTGTTCAAAAACTTTCAACGGCTCCTCACTGCCTTCAGGATAAAACCCAGACTCCTTAGCATAGTGTTCAAGAGTCTCCACAGCTGCCTTCACCCATCCTGCCTTCCAACTTGCCTTTATTCCCCTGGTACACCAGGCACACCAGGCAGCTTACAGGCCCCCTCCATGCCTCTGACTGAGCTGAGCCAGTGCCTCCCTCCCGACCTGCACTTAAGTGCCACCTGCTGAGGAGGCTTTCACCAGCTTACCTTTGAAGATGTCTCTATTATAACATATATTATCTTCCACCTGGCTGGACTGGCATCTGTGTCTGCCTCCTCCCCCAGATGGTAATCTCTTTAAAGACAAGGACCGGGCTGGGACTTGCTGTTTGTGGGATTGAAGATGCATTGATTCGCAAATGTTTATTAAGCCTCTACTAAGCACGCACTGTGCTGGAGGGCCCTGCCTCCCGGAAGCTTAATGTTTAATCAAAAGCTAAGTCAGGAGGTCAGGAAAAGGATAAATGGTGGCACAGTGAATGGGTACATGCTCCAGGGGCTCAGGCCTCTCTCGGGCAGGCAAAGGTCAGACGAAACCCAGAAATGTCCTGGGACAGGCTCAGGCAAGACACAGGGGAGGCGGCCTGGCCTGGGGGCTCCTTTGAGGGGCACTCATGAATGATAAGTGAGCCTGGATAAGTGAGAAGAGGCAGGGTAACCATGTGCTGATGAAGCTAAGCCTTGTCTGCAGGAATAACCCCCCAGCATTAACCAAAACTGTCCTCAAGGCATTGCTGTCACCGGCCAGAGGGCGACAGGCTGTGGAGTTTGGCTCAGGGACTACCAAGTGCTGACGGCATGCTCTCCCCTCTGCCTCCCACCTTCCTACAGATGTCAACCCCCTGCGCAAACCCCGTACCCCCATGGAGACCTTCAGAAAGGTGGGGATCCCCATCATCGTAGCACTACTGAGCCTGGCGAGTATCATCATTGTGGTTGTCCTCAGTAAGTGACAGCCCCTACCCGACTTTCACCCTCTAAGTAAATGACAGGGCCCACCCCCCCACCCCCACACTCACCCCCTGAATAAGTGACAGTCCCCCACCCCTGCCCTCACCCCTTCAGTAAGAGGCAGTCCCCCACCCCTGCCCTCACCCCCTCAGTAAGAGGCAGCCCCGCCCCTCCCATCATCACCTCATAAGTGGCAGCCCCTACTTGTCCTTCACCCCCTCAGTAAGTGGCAGCCCCCACCCCCACAGTCAGGGGCAGGTGATCTGCATAAAGCTTTGCAGAAAAAAAAAATCATTGGTATAATAAAAGGAATTTGAGGAGGAAAAAAGAGAAAGAGAAAGAGAGAAAGAAAGAAAGAAAGAGAGAGAGAAAGAGAGAGAGAAAGAAGGAGAGAGAGAAAGAAAGAAAAAGAAACCATATGTATCCACCCCCTGCTTTGAAGAGAACCTTATTCTAAGAGTGAAAGGGGAGATGAACTCAGCCCCCATCTATTCCAGATGGCTTCTATCCCAGGTGACTTCTTCTAGAGGGAGAGCACAGTGGCACATGTTCCTAACCCACGCAGGCAATTTGCAGGGCCGCCACGCCCCCTGCCCCCTCCTTCCCATCTTCTGCAGATTGCAAGCTGAGTGGCTCTGAGCAGCGGCTGGAAGAACAGGGAGAGTTTCTGCTTGTGAGGAGGGGAGAAAGAGGAGGCAGCAGAGAAGACCCCCCAGGCAGCTGGCACCTGGCCCCCTTCAGCCTGGCCTTCACCATGGCTAGTGCCTGAGGCCCAGTGTGGTCTTGAGCAGGCCTCTCTGCCTCAGGCCCTTATCCGTGATAAAGAAGATTCAACTGAAGGAGCAGGGATGTGGGTCGTTTTCGGCTCCCACATCTTATGATGGAGTCATTGCCTTTGTTATCCACATGAGCACAGCAGGTTACTGACTGCAACTTTTCACAGCAAGAAGTAGGGCACTGGGGACCAGACTAGGAATCAGGACACCTGAGACAGGGATCCTGGCTCTGCCACTTGCTGCTGCGTGACCTTGAGTAAGTCCTTCACTGCCTCATACCCTCAGTCTCCTCACCTGTAAAATGTCCTTCCTCCCTCAAAGCGATATCCTGAGCACCAATGAGATAACATACATAAACGACCAAGCTAAAAACCAAGTTTTGCAAAAGAGCATGTCATTACGCAGCAGCAGGCGAAATGTGACCCAGGACATGTATTTGCTAATTGGGGCAGGACTGCCTGTGCAGCCAAGGAATAGCTGGCCTTTCAGGAATCTGCACTTGTAACTGTGGTGACATTTCAAGCAGTAGCAGCCAACTGCCTGGTTGGAGGACACTGAGAGAGCCTCTGGTCCCCCTTCCACGCGAGCACCGAGGCTCGGAGAGGAGTAGCGGCAGTCAGGGTCAAGGCTGGGACAGGACCCCAGTACCCTGATTGAACAGGTTCATTTCCATCTCGTGGCGGTAGAAAAGCAGAGCCACAACATAAACCCCACTCAAAGCCCTGGGAGCCCTGGATGGGTGTGAGATGCAGATGACCCCAAACCCTTTCTCCTTGATCTTGGTTGCCCACACGATGGAGGTTTGCAGTGCCATCAGCAGACTTGCCATCCTGTTCTATTCAGGCTAATGTTGAAGTGAGCTTGCTTTCCATAAGCATACACTCTGCCGCAGTGGAGATAAAGGGGGCCAGAGTTATCCAGGGAAAGCCAGGCAGGCACTGAAGCATAATTTAGAGCTAGACACTCCCCGTCCCAGAAAGTCTGACATGGCTTCCACATCCTTGGCCCCCGGATTCTGTAATCAGAGGTTGTAACCCAGTCCTCCATCCTGGGCCGGGCTCCCTCAACCTATGGCTTCTGGAGTCTCAACTGGCAACCCTGTCTCCTAGATTTGTCCCAGGAGGCTGGGGTGACTCTGCCTCACTCTGGCTCCTGATCATAAACCAAACTCCAAAGAGCTAGGTAATACCTGGCTCCTCCTTCTCCCTTGCTTCACTCAAGCCAGGAGCATCAGGGCCAGCGATCACATCTCAAGCTTCCCCAGAGAGTTAGATGGGCCCTGGCTGTACACTGGAAGCACTGTGTGCCCTGGGAAAATAAAGCCTGACCTTCAATTCTCCATGTCCCTGTTTGTAATGTGAGTTAGTAATAACACCTCCCTCCCAAGACTGTTACCAGGATTACATGAGGAAATGTATGGAAAGCTCCTAACACGGTGACAAGCAGGGACCATTATTAGATTTAATGCCACTACTCTTAAGACCAGCCCAGGATGATACTGGACTGGAGAGGGGCCCATCAGGCCAAGACAGAATTCAGTTACGAAGGAGGAGTCCCCTCCTGCCAGGGTGTTTGGCTATGAGTCTTCACTAAGAAAAAGTTTGTTTGTTTGTTTGTCTGTTTGTTTGTTTGCTTGAGACAAGGTCTTACTCTGTCTCCCAGGCTAGAGTGTAATCATGTGATCACGGCTCACTGCAGCCTCAAACTTCTGGGCTCAAGCAATCCTCCTGCCTCAGACTCCCAAGTTGCTGGGACCACAGGGGCACACCACCATGCCTGGCTAATTTTTTTTATTTTTATTTTGGAGAAACAAGGATCTCACTATGTTGCCCAGACGGATCTTGAACTCCTGGGCTCGAAAAATCCTCCTGCCTTGGTACCCCAAAGTGCTGGGATTACAGGTGTGAACTACCATGCACGGCCAGAAAAAGTGTTAAAATATCAGTTCCCTGAAGGATTAAACACACTCGACATCTTTCCATCATCCCAAGATGGCAAAAGAACAACAGAATTCGAAAGCAGCTGGCAGAATCTAAAGACAGCAAAACAAAAAAACCAAGGACCAAGCCCTTAACAGATCTTTCTCTTTTTTTCTTAATTTTAGTTATTTTTTTTATATATTTTAATTACTTTTTTTGTTCAACTTTTATTCTAAGTTCTGGGGTACATGTGCAGGACGTGCAGGTTTGTTACATAGGTAAGCATGCCATGGTGGTTTGCACTGATCAACCCTTCACTGAGGTATAAAGCCCGGCAACCATTAGCTATAATTCCTGATGCTCTCCCTGCCTCTGCCTCCCGCCCGACAGGCCCCAGAGTGTGTTGATCCCCCTGCATGTGTGCATATGTTCTTATCTTTCAACAGTTCTTTCACCGAGATAAAAGCACCCAACTCTAGAACTATACTTGATAGTTACGAGACATTTTCACAACTACCATCATACCACATGCTCTCAACAGCCCTGTGAGGCAGATATTATAGATACTATCATCCCATTGTACAGATGAGGAAACTGAGAACTAAGGAAGGAAAGTGATCCGTATACAGTTCGACAGTATGGCTGGGCACAGTGACTCATGCCTGTAATCCCAGCACTTTGGGAGGCCGAGGCAGGTGAATCACCTGAGGTTGGGTGTTCGAGAACAGCCCGGCCAACATGGTGAAACCCCATCTCTACTAAAAATACAAAAAATCAGCTGAGTACGGTGGCACGTGCCTGTAATCCCAGCTACTCGGGAGGCTGAGGCAGGAGAATCACTTAAACTTGGGAGGCGGAGGCTGCAGTGAGCCAAAACCCCGCCACTGCACTCCAGCCTGAATGACAGAGGGAGACTCCATCTCAAAAAACAAAAAAGTTAAGTTCCACGGTAGGTGGCAGAGCTAGGACTCAGAACTGGGTCTTCAGACTCTGGATTCCTCCTCTGTTACCAGAACGTACTGAGCCAGCACTGGGGGTAAGAGGCAGGTACCAGCCTGTTTCTCAATTTCTCCCACACACGTGACCTCTCTTGATCCTCAGACATCATGTGGGTATGGGGCCGGTGTTACTATCTCCATTTTACAGACAAGGAAGCTGAGGTTCAGGCCAAGTCTATGTGCTACCAAATAGCAGAACTGAGCCTGGAACTCACACATGCGTCTGAGAGCCCAGCATCATCGCCAGGAAAACCCAGCCTCTCCCTACTCAAGCCTGACCCTCAGCCCTCTCTGCTCCTCCCTGCACTTGCCTTCCAGTCAAGGTGATTCTGGATAAATACTACTTCCTCTGCGGGCAGCACCTCCACTTCATCCCAAGGAAGCAGCTGTGTGACGGGGAGCTGGACTGTCCCTTGGGAGAGGATGAGGAGCACTGTGTCAAGAGCTTCCCCGAAGGGCCTGCAGTGGCAGGTGAGTGCAGGGTCTGAGGGACAAGAGGAGTGGGCCCAGCAGGAGGTCTGCTCAGGCCTCCATGGCCCACTGCATAGTATCTGCCACCTACTTGTCACTGTTCATCCTTGTTGTATAAGGTTCTTTTTTGTTTGTTTTTGTTTTTGTTTTGAGGCAGAGTGCTCTGTGGCCCAGGATGGAGTGCAATGGCTTGGTCTCGGCTCAGTGCAACCTCTGCCTTCCAAGTTCAAGTGATTCTCCTGCCTCAGCCTCATGAGTAGCTGGGATTACAGGTGCCAGCCACCACGCCTGGCTAATTTTTATATTTTTAGTAGAGATGGGGTTTTGCCATGTTGGTCAGGCTGGCCTCGAACTCCTGACCTCAGGTGATCCGCACACCTTGGCCTCCCAAAGTGCTGGGATTACAGGCGTGAGCCACTGTACCCTGCTGTATAAGTTTCTTGAGAGCAGGACTGTGTCTTGTCTACCTTTAAATCCCAGTACTTAACACACAGCAAACAGTAACTATTTGATGAACAAATGTGAGCCAGAAAGGACAGGAAATTGTAACTGAACCTGCCCCATGCGTGCTGTGCCTGGGTGGATTTCAGGCAGAGGGCTAGACGGGGTGACCTTGGAGCGTTCCTCCTTTCTATGAGATCTGTTACTTCAAGTAGACTAGAAAAGAGACTTCTCAGCCACTTTGCCAGCTATTGGTCCTTCTATTCTTTAGTGTTTGCTGAGATGCACTATGTGACAGGACTGAGCCAGGTTGTTTCAATGGATAGGTGTTTTGAGCATAAAACCCACATTCTCTCTTGGGCTAGACTCTTCTACCTTCATCCCCCTGGTGCTTGGGCTCTGAAGAAATAAAGATAGGTAGGAGATGAGTGATGGGGCTTCTGAGGGCAGGGCTGAGTGACTTCCTGTGTATTTGCTCTTTCTTTATCAGAAATCAAATGCCTGTCAAATGCCCTTATCAGAAGTCAAATGCACCTGTCATCCTACCGCCAATAGGACTTCTCACTCAACCTCCCCCTGTGACCTTTCTTGGAGAAGGACCTAGGTCCCTCTCTGAGACATTTCCCCAGGCTGAGCAAGTTGCATGGACCATGGATGGGTATGTGGTCCATACAATTTAAACAAGTTGTATATGGTCTCTGGGTAGAGTGACCACATAATTGATCATCAAAACTGATACCTGTAAGAGCAAAAGGGGGCTCTATTAACCATTGGGCCAGGGCAACAGGTCAAAACAGAGACTGACTCCGGGACGTCTGGTCACACTAGCTACTGTCAAAATGGGGCCCAAATAGACAAAGCCAAATGGAGTAAATTCCCTTGACATTGAAAGTGTTGGGGCTCTGTGGTACCCCCAGTTCTAGGCTGGGGGAGGTTGGACTGATCTCATGATGAATTCTGAGGGGGATGGGCCAGATGGGCCCCTCCTTCCATCTAACCCAGGTTCTTTTCCTCCTAGTCCGCCTCTCCAAGGACCGATCCACCCTGCAGGTGCTGGACCCGGCCACAGGCAACTGGTTCTCTGCCTGCTTCGACAACTTCACAGAAGCTCTGGCCGAGACAGCCTGCAGGCAGATGGGCTACAGCAGGTAACCAACCTGAGCCTCTCTCCTTTTTCCCTTCTTCCTCTTTCCTCCTCTTCCTCCTTTCCTTCCTCCTTTCTTCTCTCTTCCCTAAAAAATACAGGCATTGGAGCCAGGCAGAATGGCTTTTGAATCCCAGCATTTCACTTATAAGCAACATGAAGTTAAATTTCCTAAGCCTCAGGTTTCTCAGGAGTGAATTGGGGGAAGTAATACCAACCTCATAGTACCCCCTCCTTCTAGACTGGAGGCCCTTCTTGTCCTAGAACCATGTGCATTTCAAGATGTGGAAGACCCTAGGGATCATCTAGTCCATGCATCATAGGATGGTTTTGGAACGCCAGTGAGAGAATGTGTGCTGCCCTCCAACACACACACACACACACACACACACACACACACACAACTTCTAGCTTCTTGTGCAGTCCTCTCCTTTCCTTTACTCCTCAACCTTCACTCCTTTGTCCTGACTTTGCCAGAAACTGTTCCTGCCCAGTAATACAAAAGCCAAGTTAACTTATTCAAAGTTTCGTTGGTTAAGATTTAGCTTAAGTGAGCCTAGTTTCAGTGGGGCCCCATCTTCGGCAATCCCAGCTCTGTCTGCAAATTTCAAAAGCAGTTCCAAATTTGCAGTGGATGAAAAGGTGTAAGATTATAATAAGAGTAATCTGCATTTTATATATTTATATTCTTTTGATTTTGGCAGAAACCCAAAAAGATAGTTATTATATCTATTTCATAAATAGGCTCAAAGAAAGTAAGTAACTTGCTAGAGTAGTAGTTGGGAGGTAGAGGGCTAGAATTTGAGCCCAAGATCCCTAATTCTTGCACATTAGGAGTTCTCATAGTGTTTCTGTTTCTACACTGGGTGATTCTTTATTCTCATGTAGGACATCATCTATAAAGGAAGGGGCTGATGAGATGGTTGATCACTCAGAGAGTTTAGCTGGAGAGGATGGAAAGGAACCCATGCATTCAGTTGCAGAGTAAGATAACCTATCTCTGGCAGGCCTCAAACTTCTTCAGGATTCTAAGAGACTGGACCCAGAGACTAGGCCAAAAACAAAAACAAAAACAAAAACATCTCTACCAGGCAGACATCACCAATCGATCACAGAACTCTCTCCCATGGATCCCTCATGCAGCCTCAAAGTGCTTTTTCAGTAAATGCTCCAGGCAGCCATTACAAATCAATCAGAATTATTTGCCTCTCTCTTCTCTGCTCATCAGGCTTCTGCTGCTCTCTACTCTCCACAGGGGGCAACTTCCAGTACCCTCCAGAAAGCACACCCCGCCACCTTCATTTCAAGGAGAGTGAGGAAGTCATGCCCGGCACCTGCTATTCTCCCCTCTTCCCACAGCCACTGAGCCCAGCCTCGCTGCAGCCAGCCCCCACTTCCCACTGTAGTCTAGTCAATTGCTTCGTCAGCCGTCAGCCGTACCTAGCACAGCAGGCTGAGGCTTGATTATGAAACGCGGGTGTCTCCAGAGGATCTTAAGGTGATAGGTTCCTGGAATTTCTGTCCTTTTGGAGCTCACTAAGGCACCAAACCACCTGACTCTTGTGCTTTACAAAAGCAAAGTTCATCAGAATCATTCATTGGGATGGAATCGGTGAACAGAAGTTAACTTTCCTGGGAATGTCCATTTCCACCATATTTCCTCCTTCTAGGTCTCAGATTTCTCTACTTTCTTTCCTCCTCCTAGATTGGAGGCCCTTCTTGTCCTAGAACCATAGGCATTTCAAGATGTGGAAGACCCTAGGGATCATCTCTGTCTCTTATACACATCTATCCCAGCTACTCGGGAGGCTGAGGCAGGAGAATCACTTAAACTTGGGAGGCGGAGGCTGCAGTGAGCCAAAACCCCGCCACTGCACTCCAGCCTGAATGACAGAGGGAGACTCCATCTCAAAAAACAAAAAAGTTAAGTTCCACGGTAGGTGGCAGAGCTAGGACTCAGAACTGGGTCTTCAGACTCTGGATTCCTCCTCTGTTACCAGAACGTACTGAGCCAGCACTGGGGGTAAGAGGCAGGTACCAGCCTGTTTCTCAATTTCTCCCACACACGTGACCTCTCTTGATCCTCAGACATCATGTGGGTATGGGGCCGGTGTTACTATCTCCATTTTACAGACAAGGAAGCTGAGGTTCAGGCCAAGTCTATGTGCTACCAAATAGCAGAACTGAGCCTGGAACTCACACATGCGTCTGAGAGCCCAGCATCATCGCCAGGAAAACCCAGCCTCTCCCTACTCAAGCCTGACCCTCAGCCCTCTCTGCTCCTCCCTGCACTTGCCTTCCAGTCAAGGTGATTCTGGATAAATACTACTTCCTCTGCGGGCAGCACCTCCACTTCATCCCAAGGAAGCAGCTGTGTGACGGGGAGCTGGACTGTCCCTTGGGAGAGGATGAGGAGCACTGTGTCAAGAGCTTCCCCGAAGGGCCTGCAGTGGCAGGTGAGTGCAGGGTCTGAGGGACAAGAGGAGTGGGCCCAGCAGGAGGTCTGCTCAGGCCTCCATGGCCCACTGCATAGTATCTGCCACCTACTTGTCACTGTTCATCCTTGTTGTATAAGGTTCTTTTTTGTTTGTTTTTGTTTTTGTTTTGAGGCAGAGTGCTCTGTGGCCCAGGATGGAGTGCAATGGCTTGGTCTCGGCTCAGTGCAACCTCTGCCTTCCAAGTTCAAGTGATTCTCCTGCCTCAGCCTCATGAGTAGCTGGGATTACAGGTGCCAGCCACCACGCCTGGCTAATTTTTATATTTTTAGTAGAGATGGGGTTTTGCCATGTTGGTCAGCCTGGCCTCGAACTCCTGACCTCAGGTGATCCGCACACCTTGGCCTCCCAAAGTGCTGGGATTACAGGCGTGAGCCACTGTACCCTGCTGTATAAGTTTCTTGAGAGCAGGACTGTGTCTTGTCTACCTT